GCTTCAAAGAATATGGCTCGAAAAATGAGACCACCATGACGTTGTGAAAGTCGTCTGTTTGAAATCCCCTGTTAAACGAAAATACTGCACCTTTCATCAAGGAAATCAGGGCATAAAAAGACAAGTTATATGCAAAGTCTTTGCCTATTTGGCTTTCATCATCAAGAACCACTAGACCTTCTTCAATTAATGGCTAAAAATAAAGACCATGCAAACGCTTACGATGAGGGAACATACCAACACATGATCAGGTAAGGATGTTAGTTCGAGCAGGCATTGGAAATTGGAGCCTGTGGTGGCATTTCCAAGAATCGTTAATAGCAAGTATTGAATGTAGGAGGTAAATAAGGTTGTGGAGGTTTCAAGAAAATTCAATACGACCTGGACTACAAAGTGAGCACGGTCAAATCCACTCACCTTTGGTAAATTGGGGTTTCCATTCCAGTATCTTCATTGGATCGGATTTTGACGCATATGAGGCAATGTATGATTCGTACTAGGATGTAAACTTACCCGATTACCCTGGAATCGCTAATCATGTATTCAGGAGCATGTTCCGATGACAATCCAAAGGGCCAATATCGTTTTCGGATCAGGGAGACTAGATAAGCGAGGTTACCTGCTTACTTGAAAATATGGAATTTGGCGGCTCCACACATGATGATCCCTTTAAAAGATACAGATCCTTGTAAATGCTCAGCATATCTTGGATGGCCTCCTGCCCACATTCCCTGGAAAAAGACTCAAGGATGCTCAACTCGACAAATTGCTTGAAATTGGAGAGTTGGTCTACAAGCCGGAGCGTAAATAGCTGCCCATATTCGACGAGAAAGCCATTCTTGTTTTGGAGCAAATTGAAGACCCTGATCTATAAATTGATGCCAACTCCAATGTACCAAATCTTCAATCTGATCTGCATGCAACTTGATAAACTTTTGGTTTCGCGATAAAAGATAGTGGAAGTAATATGCCATGGAGCGTGCCGATCTTGAAAAATGCGGAGTATCATTTAAAATGGACCGTAAATTCTGAAATCAAACGCACGAAAACATTTTACCTTTTCGACGGTCAGAACGGCGCTTTGGTTCTCACTCTTGAACACGAGATCCAAAAATCGAGATGAGGTCTTTTGGATCTCGATGAACAGATCAATTCTTTTCTTGCAATTATAAAAGCTCCCATTGAATGGAACAAAGGAAGGGTTAAAAAGTCCGGCTTGTGATGCAAGATATTCATTAAAGAGGGAAACAAACATTTCGCTGCTGGTTGGAAATCTTCCGAAGAAATCAAAGAGCATCGCCAGACCTATGGAAAGTCAAGAAGGATACTTTCAAATTGCTGCCGGTTGAAAAGCTCGAGAATCTGCGAATAAAAATCAGAAAGACTCGAGTTGATATACTCCCTCTCAATGGAAACTATAAAAGCTTTACTGATGCTAGACGGAAAATAGAACAAAATTTTGGCCACCATCCGTTCAGCAATTTTGATGCTCTATTTATTAGTTAATTCCAGCTTTAAAATACTTGGAAGATATTTTCTTTTTCGGAGGCCGGAAGTGTCTGCAAAAAGTCATTGAAGAGATTCTCAATCTTTTTGCTTGGTTTGAAGTTCTCCGTCTGCAAAGTTGCAGAATAAGAGGCATCTAGATGTAAATTTCACACACTTGGTTACAGATGGAAAATACAGACTCACGAACAACAAAATCCTCCTAAAAAGAA